TTGAACAGAAGTCAAGATATTTGCGATTGAAGGAGGTAGGGTCGCCTGGTTTCAGTGGTAAATTAGGGGGAGAAAATGGCCGCTAAAGTTTGGTAACTTCAATAGCTTGAGAGTCCTTTAAAACTTCAAAATTACATATTCTGTGCCTTTTATCAACTCTTTTCTGTCAAGCTTAGGTTGAAATGTATGGATGTAAAAGGTGCTGAGCCAAAAAACAAAAATTAGGGGGAAAAAATGTCAAACTGGAGAAAAAAATGTCAATATCTTTGATTTCATTATTTTGACGAGGGCCTGTTTTAACCACGATGCCCCACGGGTCGACCATGCTAGTGCCCTGTCAAGGATGTTATAATTCAAGTTTGTGGCTGTTTGTAGCAAAGTGTCGATTTACCTCTCTATGGAGGTGGTTTACAACTCTGGAAAACTGTTTGTAAAAAAAAAAAAGAAAGAAAAAAAAAGAAAAACTGGAACATCTATTGGTTACTGTCGTATTGTGATGTCTTTTATTTGACTTTGGAATGGGCGGCTGGCGGGTGCTGTGGTGGATTTTGCTCTTTTTTCTATCGAGCATCCATCTTCCTTATCTGCCTACATTCTTTTTGTGTTTTTTTTACTTTCTCGTAGCATCCCTATTCTTCGGCACTTATATGACCACCCTGTGTTGCAAGTGCCGTACGGGCTCTCGTGGCCTAGAGATTAAGGTGTTGGCCCCTCATTCAAATGTCCCAGGTTCGAATCCGGTTAGCGACCAAAAATTTTCTTCTCTAAAGTTGTCTCCTTTCACCTCCTCTTCTGCTCTCTAGCAATGTTTTGTCGTCTGCTTTCGTCTCCTCTTTCTGCCCCCACCCCCTCGCCTCCTTTTCCCCCTCCTCTGGGATCCTGACTCTTTCTGGAGGCTTTCTACTGCTACTCCTTGACTTCTTATTACTGCTGTCTTTTCTCCACACCCCTGATCTTCTGATAGGAAAGATCTACACCCAGCCTTCTCGGGCTAGGGCGAAAAATCTCGGAGGGCTCGTGTGTAAGCTGCACACCGTAAAGATCCCTTGGTGGTCTAAAATCGATAAAGGAGGCTTCGGCAGCCCCCCGGACAAAATTCAAAATTTCCTACCAACTAAAAAATGTTAATGTGTCCCGCGCGCTCATATGACCGTATGCAGTTGCAAGCGCCGTAAAACACTTACTAAAAAAACAAAAATAAAAACAAGTGCGTAAAACTCTTACTAAAACAATGACTATGTTTTCAGAACAATAAGGACCTCTGTATAT